TTTGCACCAGGTTGCATCGTAAATTCACTGTATCTTTGAAATCATGTTAAACAAATTTTTTGTCATGTTTTATTGATTTAAGATCATTTGTACAAATTGCTTTGTCAGTTTGAGCAATTTCTGTGAAGTTCTGGTAGATTTGCAGTCAAAAATGTTAAATAGTAGCTACTTTTGCACTAGGTTGCATCATAAATTCACTCTATCTTTGAAATCATGTTAAACAAATCATTTGTCATGTTTTATTGATTTAAGATCATTTGCACAAATTGCTTTGTCAGTTTGAGCGATTTCTGTGAAGTTCTGGTAGATTTGCAGTCAAAAATATTAAAAAGTAGCTACTTTTGCACTTGGTTGCATCATAAATTCATTGTATCTTTGAAATCATGTTAAACAAATTTTTTGTCATGTTTTATTGATTTAAGAACATTCACAAAAATTGCTTTGTCAGTTTGAGCAATTTCTGTGAAGTTCTTGTAGATTTGCAGTCAAAAATATTAAATAGTAGCTACTTTTGCACTTGGTTGCATCATAAATTCGCTGTATCTTTGAAATAATGTTAAACAAATTTCTTGTCATGTTTTATTGATTTAAGAACATTCACACAAATTGCTTTGTCAGTTTGAGCAATTTCTGTGAAGTTCTGGTAGATTTGCAGTCAAAAATGTTAAATAGTAGCTACTTTTGTACTAAATTGCATCATAAATTCACTGTATCTTTAAAATCATGTTAAACAAATTTTTTGTCATGTTTTATTGATTTAAGATCATTTGCACAAATTGCTTTGTCAGTTTGAGCGATTTCTGTGAAGTTCTGGTAGATTTGCAGTCAAAAATATTAAATAGTAGCTACTTTTGCACTTGGTTGCATCATAAATTCATTGTATCTTTGAAATCATGTTAAACAAATTTTTTGTCATGTTTTATTGATTTAAGATCATTTGCACAAATTGCTTTGTCACTTTGAGCAATTTCTGTGAAGTTCTGGTAGATTTGCAGTCAAAAATGTTAAATAGTAGCTACTTTTGCACTAGGTTGCATCATAAATTCATTGTATCTTTGAAATCATGTTAAACAAATTTTTTGTCATGTTTTATTGATTTAAGAACATTCACACAAATTTCTTTGTCACTTTGAGCAATTTCTGTGAAGTTCTGGTAGATTTAAAGTCAAAAATATTAAATAGTAGCTACTTTTGCACTTGGTTGCATCATAAATTCGCTGTATCTTTGAAATCATGTTAAACAAATTTTGTCATGTTTTATTGATTTAAGAACATTCACACAAATTTCTTTGTCACTTTGAGCAATTTCTGTGTAGTTCTGGTAGATTTAAAGTCAAAAATATTAAATAGTAGCTACTTTTGCACTTGGTTGCATCATAAATTCACTGTATCTTTGAAATAATTTTAATCAAATTTTTTGTCATGTTTTATTGATTTAAGAACATTCACACAAATTTCTTTGTCACTTTGAGCAATTTCTGTGAAGTTCTGGTAGATTTAAAGTCAAAAATATTAAATAGTAGCTACTTTTGCACTTGGTTGCATCATAAATTCACTGTATCTTTAAAATCATGCTAAACAAATTTTTTGTCATGTTTTATTGATTTAAGATCATTTGCACAAATTTTTGGTCAGTTTGAACAATTTCTGTGAAGTTCTGGTAGATTTAAAGTCAAAAATGTTAAATAGTAGCTACTTTTGCACTAGGTTGCATCATAAATTCACTGTATCTTTAAAATCATGTTAAACAAATTTTTTGTCATGTTTTATTGATTTAAGAACATTCACACAAATTTCTTTGTCACTTTGAGCAATTTCTGTGAAGTTCTGGTAGATTTAAAGTCAAAAATATTAAATAGTAGCTACTTTTGCACTTGGTTGCATCATAAATTCGCTGTATCTTTGAAATCATGTTAAACAAATTTTGTCATGTTTTATTGATTTAAGAACATTCACACAAATTTCTTTGTCACTTTGAGCAATTTCTGTGTAGTTCTGGTAGATTTAAAGTCAAAAATATTAAATAGTAGCTACTTTTGCACTTGGTTGCATCATAAATTCACTGTATCTTTGAAATAATTTTAATCAAATTTTTTGTCATGTTTTATTGATTTAAGAACATTCACACAAATTTCTTTGCCACTTTGAGCAATTTCTGTGAAGTTCTGGTAGATTTAAAGTCAAAAATATTAAATAGTAGCTACTTTTGCACTTGGTTGCATCATAAATTCACTGTCTCTTTGAAATAATGTTAAACAAATTTTTTGTCATGTTTTATTTATTTAGGAACATTCACACAAATTGCTTTGTCAGTTTGAGCAATTTCTGTGAAGTTCTGGTAGATTTGCAGTCAAAAATATTAAATAGTAGCTACTTTTGCACTTGGTTGCATCATAAATTCGCTGTATCTTTGAAATAATGTTAAACAAATTTTTGTCATGTTTTATTGATTTAAGATCATTTGCACAAATTGCTTTGTCAGTTTGAGCAATTTCTGTGAAGTTCTGGTAGATTTGCAGTCAAAAATGTTAAATAGTAGCTACTTTTGCACTTGGTTGCATCATAAATTCGCTGCATCTTTGAAATAATGTTAAACAAATTTTTTGTCATGTTTTATTGATTCAAGATCATTTGCACAAATTGCTTTGTCAGTTTGAGCAATTTCTATGAAGTTCTGGTAGATTTGCAGTCAAAAATATTAAATAGTAGCTACTTTTGCACAAGGTTGCTACATAAATTCGCTGTATCTTTGAAATAATGTTAAACAAATTTTTTGTCATGTTTTATTGATTTAAGATCATTTGCACAAATTGCTTTGTCAGTTTGAGCAATTTCTGTGAAGTTCTGGTAGATTTGCAGTCAAAAATGTTAAATAGTAGCTACTTTTGCACTTGGTTGCATCATAAATTCGCTGCATCTTTGAAATAATGTTAAACAAATTTTTTGTCATGTTTTATTGATTCAAGATCATTTGCACAAATTGCTTTGTCAGTTTGAGCAATTTCTATGAAGTTCTGGTAGATTTGCAGTCAAAAATATTAAATAGTAGCTACTTTTGCACAAGGTTGCTACATAAATTCGCTGTATCTTTGAAATAATGTTAAACAAATTTTTTGTCATGTTTTATTGATTTAAGATCATTTGTACAAATTGCTTTGTCAGTTTGAGCAATTTCTGTGAAGTTTTGGTAGATTTGCAGTCAAAAATGTTAAATAGTAGCTACTTTTGTACTAAATTGCATCATAAATTCACTGTATCTCTAAAATCATGTTAAACAAATTTTTTGTCATGTTTTATTGATTTAAGATCATTTGCACAAATTTCTTTGTCAGTTTGAGCAATTTCTGTGAAGTTCTGGTAGATTTGCAGTCAAAAATGTTAAATAGTAGCTACTTTTGCACTTGGTTGCATAATAAATTCGCTGCATCTTTGAAATAATGTTAAACAAATTTTTTGTCATGTTTTATTGATTCAAGATCATTTGCACAAATTGCTTTGTCAGTTTAAGCAATTTCTGTGAAGTTCTGGTAGATTTGCAGTCAAAAATGTTAAATAGTAGCTACTTTTGCACTTGGTTGCATCATAAATTCGCTGTATCTTTAAAATCATGTTAAACAAATTTTTTGTCATGTTTTATTGATTTAAGAACATTCACACAAATTGCTTCGTCAGTTTGAGCAATTTTTGTGAAGTTCTGGTAGATTTGCAGTCAAAAATGTTAAATAGTAGCTACTTTTGCACTTGGTTGCATCATAAATTCGCTGCAACTTTGAAATAATGTTAAACAAATTTTTTGTCATGTTTTATTGATTCAAGATCATTTGCACAAATTGCTTTGTCAGTTTGAGCAATTTCTGTGAAGTTCTGGTAGATTTGCAGTCAAAAATGTTAAATAGTAGCTACTTTTGCACTTGGTTGCATAATAAATTCGCTGCATCTTTGAAATAATGTTAAACAAATTTTTTGTCATGTTTTATTGATTCAAGATCATTTGCACAAATTGCTTTGTCAGTTTGAGCAATTTCTGTGAAGTTCTGGTAGATTTGCAGTCAAAAATGTTAAATAGTAGCTACTTTTGCACTTGGTTGCATCATAAATTCGCTGTATCTTTAAAATCATGTTAAACAAATTTTTTGTCATGTTTTATTGATTTAAGAACATTCACACAAATTGCTTTGTCAGTTTGAGCAATTTTTGTGAAGTTCTGGTAGATTTGCAGTCAAAAATATTAAATAGTAGCTACTTTTGCACTTGGTTGCATAATAAATTCGCTGCATCTTTAAAATCATGTTAAACAAATTTTTTGTCATGTTTTATTGATTTAAGAACATTCACACAAATTGCTTTGTCAGTTTGAGCAATTTTTGTGAAGTTCTGGTAGATTTGCAGTCAAAAATGTTAAATAGTAGCTACTTTTGCACTAGGATGCATCATAAATTCGCTGTATCTTTGAAATCATGTCAAACAAATTTTTTGTCATGTTTTATTGATTTAAGATCATTTGCACAAATTGCTTTGTCAGTTTGAGCGATTTCTGTGAAGTTCTGGTAGATTTGCAGTCAAAAATATTAAATAGTAGCTACTTTTGCACTAGGTTGCATCATAAATTCATTGTATCTTTGAAATCATGTCAAACAAATTTTTTGTCATGTTTTATTGATTTAAGATCATTTGCACAAATTCCCGAGCGGCACAATTTGACGATGACGATCAAATGATCGTCATATGAGCATCTTCGTCATGACGATGATGATTGTACGACGATTTTTTTTTTCTAAAATATTATGATGATCATATGACGATCAAATGAAAGTCATGAATGACGATAATTTTTGATTTTTTGAATGATGTTACATAGGTCAAATAAACAGTATTGAATATTAAAAGCATGACTAATTTTTAAAAACCATATATTTTTTAATTCTGTTTTTTTTTTTTTATTTATTTTAAATTTAACATCATCTCTTCAAATACAATATTTTTTCACATTTAAACTTTACTTAACTTTTAATGGGGATAAATACATAATCTTCGTCGTATGGAATTCTTATCATTTTGTACAATATATTTTCGAATTCAACTTTGAAGTTAAACATACCTAACTCATTTTTACAAACAAAAATGTGCAATTTTGATGATTCAATAGGTATGCTATACAGATTACCTTTAATAATGAATGCATTGCAAATAAACACTGGGATATCGTTTTGCTTGAATATTTTAACGACTTCACAAATTTTGCCATCTTTTAATATTAAGTATCGATCTCTGACACCCACTGTTGATAATTTTTTGCCATCCCAGCTTACATTTATGACAGTATTATCACGATTTGAAACAAATTTGAATTTGTCTAAGGTGGAATTCTTTTTTTCATCTGATTCATTTCTCATAAGTAGTTCAGCAATACGTCTATGAATCTGTTGTAAAGGTTTATTTGGCGAGTGCACTAGCTTTTTTACATTTGTTAAAAAGCATTCGAAGGGAAAAGTGGAAAATTCGTCTAATGGCATACCTTTATGATAACATAGAAATAAAGAAAAATTATATTGTTAAATTAATTAATAATTAACAAAAATTAAAATTATTTCTTATTACCTTGAAATTTTACGGCATCCGATAAATGGCTTATAGTATGGACTATTAATGTTTGCATTATGGTTCCATATAGTTCCATTGCTGTTTCAACAAACTTTCGGAGAATCACTTTTGCAATTTCGTGATGTGTTTTTGATAAAATTTTGTCAGTTAATATTGTGATTCCCACATGTAGAAATAGGAAATTCTTATAAAATTCCGACGGAATCACATTTTTTAATGCCACAATTCCTATTTTAAGAAGAAAAAATCGGAGCTCGTGTCCGTGGTACAAATTCAACTCCGATATTGATCTCATGTGTCTATGATATTCCGAGGGAATAAATGGATCAATTTCTTGTAGTTTTTCAGTCATTTCCCGCGATACTCTCAATGGCAAATGGGAATGAGGTGGAATAAATAGAAAGTTTAACATCTTCCTTAATCCTCCTAATAAAACAATGTGTAGATAGTCTGGCGGGAAATTTTTAACCATGTCTAAATTGTGAAACTCTGATTCCAATATTGAAGTACCCATATGATGTTCAATATCTAATCTTGCTCTGAAGGTTTCATCCGTTCTTTTCTCACGATCTAAGTTGCAAAAAGTCATCCTATTTTCTGCACGATAACCACGTACATAACATTCATTACAGGAATGATAGCCTGTTGCTCCTTTTACATATTTTACTGATGCTTTTGCAGGTGTATCCAAAAGAAAGTTCCCCAATTTAATTTGATATTCCTTGCCGCCTATATTTATTTTACTTGATGATAGTTTTTTGAATTTACTGACGAAATCAGAAAGAAATATATTAAACGATTTTGGATGAGATCTTCCATTATAAAGTCCAATGACAAATATTTTATTCAAAACTCTGCCGAGGATGATCCAGAATGATTTACAGATGGCATCAGTTTGAAAAGCGGCCCCATCTATGAAACAGTCAAGCTTAATTTTGACGGTTTCCAGTGAAGAACATTCGGATAATATTAATTTAATTTGATTTTCCCAATTAAAATTTACATAATATCCTGGACCAATGAATTTCAATACAGTTGTTCTTGGAGTTTTCATTATAGATCGATAGTCAGTCTTTATGAGAGGAAAAATTGTTTTGAGATCTTTTAAAATATTTGTTAATCCAGTTCTTTTGAAATTGAACTTAATCGTATTTTGACATAAAACTTGTTCTATGTATTTTGTCATGTCATAATTGTCGATATTATTCTGTATATTATCATTTTGGTCGCATTTCATTGAGTTACTTTCATCACTCCTTACATCCAAAATGTTCCCGCTTGATGATTCGAAGAGAACATTGTTACACTCTTCTTGTACGTTAATTGATATGTTCTGTGAATTTTCTTCCACTTCTTGAGATAACAGAAGAAAGACGTTTCTGAAAATTAATCAAAAAGGAACTCACAGTGAAATTAAAATATGACAAACATTGAATTGAAATTACCGACGTGTTGATTTCTCTTTTCCATTTTTATTTTTTAACTCGGATTTCTTGACACTGCCATTGACACGCCATATTTTTTTCCTCCAACTACTTTTCTTCATTTCCCATAATAGTTTTGATTTTCTGCCCATTTCGATTGTATTTTTTGCTTAAACTTTTTCTATGAACTGTTTTTGCACTGTAAAAACTGATAATTATTTTGTAAATAGTATTTCGATGATTGCTAAGAACAAAATTTTTTGTTGAATTATTCTTTGGAGATTTCGTAAATGAGCTTTCATTTAATGTATGCTCACTGATTTCTAACGGATTTTGAATGCAAAAATAAATATGCTTATCATAAAAATGATCTTCAAAATGATTGCAAAATTTGACATTGAAAAAATCATCATATGATACGTTTAGAATTTAGAAATATTTTAGTAATCAAAGTTACCATTTTTTGGGTGAAATTTTTGTTTCTTCATTTGCGTTCGAGAAGTCGAAGTGAGAGGAAGAAAAATTTCATTCAATCTATTATAAAAGCTTTTAAGAGTTATCAAAGTGTGTGAATAAGCAATTTTAGAAATGGTAAGTTTTAGAAGCAATTGCTGCAAATCAATTTAATACATTCATTTTTTTAAATTATGTTTTTGTCATCAGTTTGCTGTCGTTCAATCAAAAAATAATGGCATTTTTGTCGTTCCAACAACATGGATGTACGAAGAAGATGAAAAAACATTCACTGTTTACCCCCACAAAAAAATAAAAAATGATCAAAAGCTAGTTAAAAATATGGAAGAACCGTCATCATCCTGGGATGTATTAGAAATCATGGTGTTAAAGACAGAAATACGTAAGAAAATTAATAATATCTAATGATAAATTATAAATATTAATGTATGGTACAATTTATTTTCAGCAAATTTTCCACTAGCTGTTGCGTCAATGAAAACTCGTGTGTATCATACTGACACATCATCAGAAGTCGAAAAGATGAAGGAAAAAAGAATTATAAAAAAACGTAAGATATCGTCAAGTGAGGATGATTTAAATTCAATATTTGACGCAAAAAGTGGAAAAGGCAAGAAAAAATCCAAAATTCTGAAAGAAACAGTAGTGAGGGCCGATAAAGTCGATACACGTGAACAGAGCAGAGAGAAAGTAATGCCGAGCACATTGAAAGATGTGACTAATTCAAATATGAAAACTACAAAGAGCAACAGTTTCACCACACAAAAGACATTTAGACCAAAAACAACAGATGCATCTCAACCTGTTAATCAAGAATTTCAAAACAGTTTCATTTCCATGACTAGTTCAACAAGTGATAGTGATAACAATGAAGAGCAAGCTAAGTTTCAGAATGCAAATGAAAATCAAAGAAATGAACTAGAAGAATATCAAGATAACAATCAATACATGGATTCTATGGAATTTGAGGATGTTATGTCATCGACTAAATTGAATCATAATGAAAGTATCGGAAGCCGGCTCCAAAAAATTGAAGAAAACATCAGTACTATGATGAAGAATCAATCTTTAATATTGCAACATTTAGAACGAATAACTTTTCAAGGTGTTAACACTCATGGAGCTCCACCAGTTCATAACTCAACCGCTGAATTAAGATCGATCTGTCCAATAAGTGATGAGAAGTTTTTCAATGAGTTGGAGAAGAAACTTAGTACTTATCTTAAAGAGCCAAATAAGGACAAAGAATTTGTCAAGAAAAGAGCATCAATGGTCGATTACTACAAGAAAAGAATTCGCGCTGTTGGAACAGCTGCACCAAAAAACAGCATAATTAAATCTTTGATTGAAATTTATTTCGATAGCGAGTTTATAGACAAAATATCCTGGCAAGAAACCAATGGTGAGTTGTTTGATTAAAAGTTTAATTTTTTTGCCAAATCAACATTATGTTTCATCCATTTTCTTAGGACGATTTTCAATAAAAAATGCTATCGGGCATTTTGATTTGTTCTTTGATATCGTTGAAGCTCATTTACCTGGAACCTACAGCTCATCGGAAGATGCTTCAACAGCCGTCAAAATTTATTTACATCGACGAAGAGAAAATCAAGCTAAGCATTTGAAGTTGACTAATCAAAATCGTTTAAATGTCGAGGAAAATCAAGAAAATGAGTAAAAAAATCAAAAATATCAAGAAAATAGTATATCATTATTAATCTTTGTTTATTATCAAGCCATTGTTATTATCATTAATCATTATATTGTTATGTTGTATGGCTTATGTAATGGCTTATGTATATAATTTAAAATAAATATTATTTAGAGTTATTCTTCACAAATTAACACGTTTTTCGTTAAATTTTAAAAAATTATTTCAGTCAAAATACAGCATATATATCACGGGTTATGCTCGTCGTCTCGCCATAGTAATTTTGTCATTTGATCGTCATATGACCATCAATTGACGTTTTCATTTGATCGTCAAGTGACGAATTTTTCGTCAAATGACCATCATATGAGGTCATAAATCGAATCGAGACGACGTCGTGATGAAGTCTTATCATCATATGACGATCATATGATCGTCATTCATGACGTCTTTATGACGATGACGGCTGTCATATGACAAATTGTGTGCCGCTCGGGATTGCTTTGTCAGTTTGAGCAATTTCTGTGAAGTTCTGGTAGATTTGCAGTCAAAAATATTAAATAGTAGCTACATTTGCACTAGGTTGCATCATAAATTCGCTGTATCTTTGAAATCATGTTAAACAAATTTTTTGTCATGTTTTATTGATTCAAGATCATTTGCACAAATTGCTTTGTCAGTTTGAGCAATTTCTGTGAAGTTCTGGTAGATTTGCAGTCAAAAATGTTAAATAGTAGCTACTTTTGCACTTGGTTGCATCATAAATTTGCTGCATCTGAAATAATGTTAATCAAATTTTTGTCATGTTTTATTGATTCAAGATCATTTGCACAAATTGCTTTGTCAGTTTGAGCAATTTCTGTGAAGTTCTGGTAGATTTGCTGTCAAAAATGTTAAATAGTAGCTACTTTTGTACTAAATTGCATCATAAATTCGCTGTATCTTTGAAATCATGTTAAACAAATTTTTTGTCATGTTTTATTGATTCAAGATCATTTGCACAAATTGCTTTGTCAGTTTGAGCAATTTCTGTGAAGTTCTGGTAGATTTGCTGTCAAAAATGTTAAATAGTAGCTACTTTTGTACTAAATTGCATCATAAATTCGCTGTATCTTTGAAATCATGTTAAACAAATTTTTTGTCATGTTTTATTGATTCAAGAACATTCACACAAATTGCTTTGTCACTTTGAGCAATTTCTGTGAAGTTCTGGCAGATTTGCAGTCGAAAATGTTAAATAGTAGCTACTTTTGTTCTAAATTGCATCATAAATTCACTGTATCTTTGAAATCATGTTAAACAAATTTTTTGTCATGTTTTATTGATTCAAGAACATTCACACAAATTGCTTTGTCACTTTGAGCAATTTCTGTGAAGTTCTGGCAGATTTGCAGTCGAAAATGTTAAATAGTAGCTACTTTTGTTCTAAATTGCATCATAAATTCGCTGTATCTTTGAAATAATGTTAAACAAATTTTTTGTCATGTTTTATTGATTTAAGAACATTCACACAAATTGCTTTGTCACTTTGAGCAATTTCTGTGAAGTTCTGGCAGATTTGCAGTCGAAAATGTTAAATAGTAGCTACTTTTGTTCTAAATTGCATCATAAATTCACTGTATCTTTGAAATCATGTTAAACAAATTTTTTGTCATGTTTTATTGATTCAAGAACATTCACACAAATTGCTTTGTCACTTTGAGCAATTTCTGTGAAGTTCTGGCAGATTTGCAGTCGAAAATGTTAAATAGTAGCTACTTTTGTTCTAAATTGCATCATAAATTCACTGTATCTTTGAAATCATGTTAAACAAATTTTTTGTCATGTTTTATTGATTTAAGAACATTCACACAAATTGCTTTGTCACTTTGAGCAATTTCTGTGAAGTTCTGGCAGATTTGCAGTCGAAAATGTTAAATAGTAGCTACTTTTGCACTAGGTTGCATCATAAATTCATTGTATCTTTGAAATAATGTTAAACAAATTTTTTGTCATGTTTTATTGATTTAAGAACATTCACACAAATTGCTTTGTCACTTTGAGCAAATTCTGTGAAGTTCTGGCAGATTTGCAGTCGAAAATGTTAAATAGTAGCTACTTTTGTTCTAAATTGCATCATAAATTCACTGTATCTTTGAAATCATGTTAAACAAATTTTTTGTCATGTTTTATTGATTCAAGAACATTCACACAAATTGCTTTGTCACTTTGAGCAATTTCTGTGAAGTTCTGGCAGATTTGCAGTCGAAAATGTTAAATAGTAGCTACTTTTGTTCTAAATTGCATCATAAATTCACTGTATCTTTGAAATAATGTTAAACAAATTTTTGTCATGTTTTATTGATTTGAGATCATTTGCACAAATTGCTTTGTCAGTTTGAGCAATTTCTGTGAAGTTCTGGTAGATTTGCAGTCAAAAATGTTAAATAGTAGCTACTTTTGTTCTAAATTGCATCATAAATTCACTGTATCTTTGAAATAATGTTAAACAAATTTTTTGTCATGTTTTATTGATTCAAGCACATTCACACAAATTGCTTTGTCACTTTGAGCAATTTCTGTGAAGTTCTGGCAGATTTGCAGTCGAAAATGTTAAATAGTAGCTACTATTGTTCTAAATTGCATCATAAATTCGCTGTATCTTTGAAATAATGTTAAACAAATTTTTGTCATGTTTTATTGATTTGAGATCATTTGCACAAATTGCTTTGTCACTTTGAGCAAATTCTGTGAAGTTCTGGCAGATTTGCAGTCGAAAATGTTAAATAGTAGCTACTTTTGTTCTAAATTGCATCATAAATTCGCTGTATCTTTGAAATAATGTTAAACAAATTTTTGTCATGTTTTATTGATTTGAGATCATTTGCACAAATTGCTTTGTCACTTTGAGCAAATTCTGTGAAGTTCTGGTAGATTTGCAGTCAAAAATGTTAAATAGTAGCTACTTTTGTTCTAAATTGCATCATAAATTCACTGTATCTTTGAAATAATGTTAAACAAATTTTTTGTCATGTTTTATTGATTCAAGAACATTCACACAAATTGCTTTGTCACTTTGAGCAATTTCTGTGAAGTTCTGGCAGATTTGCAGTCGAAAATGTTAAATAGTAGCTACTTTTGTTCTAAATTGAATCATAAATTCATTGTATCTTTGAAATCATGTTAAACAAATTTTTTGTCATGTTTTATTGATTTAAGATCATTTGTACAAATTGCTTTGTAAGTTTGAGCAATTTCTGTGAAGTTCTGGTAGATTTGCAGTCAAAAATGTTAAATAGTAGCTCCTTTTGCACTAGGTTGCATCATAAATTCATTGTATCATTGAAATCATGTTAAACAAATTTTTTGTCATGTTTTATTGATTTAAGATCATTTGTACAAATTGCTTTGTCAGTTTGAGCAATTTCTGTGAAGTTTTGGTAGATTTGCAGTCAAAAATGTTAAATAGTAGCTACATTTGCACTAGGTTGCATCATAAATTCATTGTATCATTGAAATCATGTTAAACAAATTTTTTGTCATGTTTTATTGATTTAAGATCATTTGTACAAATTGCTTTGTCAGTTTGAGCAATTTCTGTGAAGTTTTGGTAGATTTGCAGTCAAAAATGTTAAATAGTAGCTACATTTGCACTAGGTTGCATCATAAATTCATTGTATCATTGAAATCATGTTAAACAAATTTTTTGTCATGTTTTATTGATTTAAGATCATTTGTACAAATTGCTTTGTCACTTTGAGCAATTTCTGTGAAGTTTTGGAAGATTTGCAGTCAAAAATGTTAAATAGTAGCTACATTTGCACTAGGTTGCATCATAAATTCATTGTATCATTGAAATAATGTTAAACAAATTTTTTGTCATGTTTTATTGATTTAAGATCATTTGTACAAATTGCTTTGTCAGTTTGAGCAATTTCTGTGAAGTTTTGGTAGATTTGCAGTCAAAAATGTTAAATAGTAGCTACTTTTGTACTTGGTTGCATCATAAATTCGCTGCATCTTTGAAATAATGTTAAACAAATTTTTTGTCATGTTTTATTGATTCAAGATCATTTTCACAAATTGCTTTGTCAGTTTGAGCAATTTCTGTGAAGTTCTGGTAGATTTGCAGTCAAAAATGTTAAATAGTAGCTACTTTTGCACTTGATTCCATCATAAATTCGCTGCATCTTTGAAATAATGTTAAACAAATTTTTTGTCATGTTTTATTGATTCAAGATCATTTTCACAAATTGCTTTGTCAGTTTGAGCAATTTCTGTGAAGTTCTGGTAGATTTGCAGTCAAAAATGTTAAATAGTAGCTACTTTTGCACTTGATTCCATCATAAATTCGCTGCATCTTTGAAATAATGTTAAACAAATTTTTTGTCATGTTTTATTGATTCAAGATCATTTTCACAAATTGCTTTGTCAGTTTGAGCAATTTCTGTGAAGTTCTGGTAGATTTGCAGTCAAAAATGTTAAATAGTAGCTACTTTTGCACTTGATTCCATCATAAATTCGCTGCATCTTTGAAATAATGTTAAACAAATTTTTTGTCATGTTTTATTGATTCAAGATCATTTTCACAAATTGCTTTGTCAGTTTGAGCAATTTCTGTGAAGTTCTGGTAGATTTGCAGTCAAAAATGTTAAATAGTAGTTACATTTGCACTAGGTTGCATCATAAATTCGCTGTATCTTTAAAATCATGTTAAACAAATTTTTTGTCATGTTTTATTGATTTAAGAACATTCACACAAATTGCTTTGTCAGTTTGAGCAATTTCTGTGAAGTTCTGGTAGATTTGCAGTCAAAAATGTTAAATAGTAGCTACTTTTGCACTTGGTTGCATCATAAATTCGCTGTATCTTTAAAATCATGTTAAACAAATTTTTTGTCATGTTTTATTGATTTAAGAACATTCACACAAATTGCTTTGTCAGTTTGAGCAATTTTTGTGAAGTTCTGGTAGATTTGCAGTCAAAAATATTAAATAGTAGCTACTTTTGCACTTGGTTGCATAATAAATTCGCTGCATCTTTAAAA